AGCCTCGGTGTGGAGCAGTAACACTGGAGGTCTTCAAGGAGTGCAACAAGTTTAGAGGGAATTTGATTATTTCTCCCTGTTCAGTCCCCTACAAGTCAGTTTTCTCCTGGGGTTTTCTCAGAATTCTTGGTAGAGGACCATGAAAAGTTTTCAGCATAGCTCTGCCTGCCTGTTGCTTTGTCACTGGATGGCAGGGGGCCAGGGCAGAAGCCCATTTGAGACTGGCACCAGCCCTGTTGTGGTTGTCTGTATTCAACTTCTGGCTGGCAGTACTAGGGCCCAACCCTGTAGAGCTGACAGTGCCAGGGGACAGGGTCAGCAAAACAGACTGGGGATGACAGCAAGGACAAGCCCCTCTTCCTCCACAGTGGAAGAATTTCAGAATCATTTGCTCAAAGTCCAGGTTTTAATGTTGGTTTTTGTGCCTGTTATGTGGTGCTTACAAAAACACGACACTTGTGACATCTTTCCTTTGCCAAGAAGAAGGAAAAGTGAAGGGTTGGGTGCTATTTAGTTCTTGGAACCTTCTGCTTTGTAAGTTTTGACTGTTGTGTCGTCCCCCCTCCTCCCCTCCCCGCCCCCACTATCCATTAAAAGTTTTGTGGGGACATTGTCATAAGTTAAATACTTAATGAATGTGTCAGTAAAGTCCCAGCTAGCCCTCCCTCCAAACTCCACCAGTCCCCTCAATTGGGGAAGGCGTTGCTGCTTGCCTGGTGCCTGTCTAATAGGTGGCCTGCAGAGTATGTGATATTTTGCTTTCGATTTGCAAAACACCAGATAAATGGTTATTAATGACAAGATAACTGGATCTCTGTATTTGCAACAAACTTTAACTGGCATTAGCAAACTCTAATGGCTATATCTTGCTTGAGTTTGTGGCTTAAAGAATCAATCTTCAGGAGGTTACTTCTCCAGGGGTCCACCTCAGTTCTGTTTTGGTTTTGTTTTCCCTGTGCATCTTTCAAATGTGGGGAGTTAACTTAAGCAGAAAGAGAAGTCCCTGTGGCCCTAGAGGTGACGACAGATCTGGTAGATGCTCCCCTAAAGCCCGGACTCCATCGAAAAGAAGGGCCATGTGCTCTTGGGTTTGCAAGAAAGATACTGGGTAAATCTGTTCACAAGATTTAAGCAGTCATTCTGGCAGGCCAGGACCTCATTTTCAGGGAGTGGAGTGATATATTTATTCATTAGCAAGTGTTGACATTAGGTAGCAAAATGTGTGTAAACAGAGAAGCCACAAAGACAGGAATGTGCCATTTCCAAGGAGGGGAGCAACCTTGCCCAGATCAGCCAATAGGAAGTGATTAGCCTGCCAACCGGAAACCCAGGCAGCTGGTTGGTCACCCCAAATGTTTTGCTTAAAACAAAACCCAAACTTAGGCACCAAACCCAAACTCAGGCACCGCTATGTAAGAATAGGCTCTGGAACTGGGCTAAGGAACTGGTCTAGGGTAGGTTTTGCTGGTTGTGGTGACCCAGGGTTATTGTCACCAGACAGATTCAGGGAGCTTTGCTGTCACACACTTTTCTCCCGACTCAGTGTATGGGAAAGCACTGGACCTGGGGATTCAGATATTCTTTCCCAGCCTGAGCTTGAAGAGTTTGGTGTTGGGTTACATAGGTGAAACAGGAAATAGGGTTTTACAGTGGACAGCTGTTAAAATCTTAATGAGACAACTGAGGGAACCCTTTTGTGAAGTCTCCTGCTTCAGAAGTGATTAAAGGGGCTGGAATCTGGTAGAGTTGAACTAGGAACCTTTGGAGGTACTAGCGGTTGAACCAGGAACTCGTTTGTGATAGCTGCAGCCTCTGGACAGGCCTGGGCTTGGTCTACACCTGGTTCTCCATATACAGCCCCAAACCAGAGTTGTCTACAGTGAGTATTGGACTTGTCTGGACCTTAGGGCAAAGTGGCTGTGACTTGTGGCATTGGCAAGGCATGAAGGCACTCCCATTTCCCCATCCCACAAGGAAAAAGGATTTGCTGTTTGCTCTTAGATCTCATTTTGTAGAGTTGGGATGCTTGAGGCCTCCACTTCCTGTGAGCACTGTATCTGCTGCTCTGAGGCTGGGGACTGGCTGCTGGGATGGATGGATGGATGGATGGATGGATGGATGGATGGATGGATGACTGGATGACCTCTTTATGGAACAGCCTTAAAAGCCTAGCAGAACTGCTGGCATCTAGATCTGTGATCTGGTCCTCTTAATTTAGGTTTCTTAGCTTTTCCAAGTCTTGTTAAGACTAGGCAGTAGATGAGTTTGATTAGATCATTCATTCAATTCAATACAAAGTAGTACCTGAGAAACTCAGAAGAACTAAGTTGGAAAGAACCTTAAAAGTTCCCCAGACTCTAGGTTGCAGTTCTCTTAGAACTGCTGGGAGAAGGGGATGTGTGTCTTCCACAGAACCAAGGGCTTAATTAGGAGCTTGGTAATAAATAGTGGTAGAGGAGAGCCAGGAATGGCCCAGCTCTGCTGTCTGCCAGGCTGGGCTCTGGGGAGAAGGAGATAGCGGTGGAAGATGAGACTGACTTAAATTTATATCTGCAGCTTGTTTGGTGGGTGGATGCAGATCTGGCCCACTTGACCTTTGTAAGCTAGGGAATAGCT